AAGTCTACAATGTTCTAGTGAACGCACATTGCTCTGTAATTAGAAATGTATGTATAAAAATATAAATCTGCAGGACTTGGTGCACCATGATTTTTGACATTAAAAGATTTATGATATAGCTCAATTAGTAAATACGTTTGCCTTGAACATTGTGCTCTTTTAAAGATTGTATGAGATCAAATTGACAACAGTAACTCTAAAGCACAGAAGAGAATTTTAAAGGGCAAAGAGTCTAAGTTAATGGTGATGAAACAATATAGGTAGAGACAGAATGGTGACAATGTGAAGTATGTAACCATTGTCATTGAACTGTACTTGTAAAAATTGTTAAATTGGTATATGTTTTGTTGTGTGTTGTCACCAGAAAGAAATAAAAAGCCAAGTACAGAGTTTTTCAGTACTATTTAAGGTCACTTATCAGAGAAATGAAAAGTATGTTTTTAAGGTAAAAACTGAAAACTGCAGTTTGGCCATTTGTTTCTCTTTCAAGGAAATGCTTGGAATTTTTTAAAGGCCCTTTTATTAAAGAATTAGTGAGGCAACTCCGGTGTTAAAAGGATAAAGGTATTTTCTGGCAACTAATGTTGCTGCTGTTTTGGTTATATAATAGATTAATTAAATAATTTGTTCATCTTCAGCTTGCCATTTTAGTGTTGAATTCTACTGAAGCATTTTTAAACTAATTGCCTTTCCTTGTGCTAATGTTCCGTTGAAAAGATGCCATTTTGTGAGGTAGAGAAGCAATAACAAATTATTGTAGAAAGCGTTTTGTTTCAGCTATTAGTGTAGGTGTATTATGTGTGTTTGTATATACACGTGCATAAAACACACGTGCGTGTGTGTGTACACGTATACACATTTAATTTTTAAAGCAGGCCAGAACAGTCACAAAATGAAAGTATGAAATATGTGTAATTTTCATTTATCTAAATTTCCTTTTTATTATAAACTTCCTTAACTCATCAGCTTTTAACTGTTTTTTAAAAAGATTTTTTGTTGTTGTTGAGAATATACAGAGCAAAACATACCACTTCAACCATTTCTACATGTACAATTCAGTGACATTGACTATATTCTTCGAGTTGTGCAACCATTCTCACCCTCTTTTTCTGAGTTGTTCCTCCCAAGTTAAAATAAACTCACTGCCCCCAAGGTTTCTGTCTAATCTTTAAAAGTTGCTGTTGTCACTTTGACCCCATACAGGTAGCTCTTAAAAGAGCATAATGCTGAAGGCAGATTTTTTTTTTTTTTACTATTTACAGCTTTTAACTATTAAAGTCCTAATGCAAATGGTTTAAAAACAACCAAACAGTACAAAGAGTTTATAAACGAAAAGCAGCAGCCTCCTGTTCTACTCGTTTCTGTCCCTGTACTGCTCTTCCAAGGCATCTACTTTTACCTGTTTCGTATTGGATTCCCTGTTAGGTACTTCACTATTTTTGGATATACTTGTACTGATTTCTTATTTTATCAACTTTAGATGTTTAAGGATTTAGTTTATCTTCTTAGATATTAAGTAAAGGTTTAATTTACCATACCCATTGTTGCCCTTGCCCTACTTCCAATATGATTGTATCACTGTTTTAAGTTGTTTTATTGGGTACCTTTGTATACTTCACATTATATTTCTGTTTTATAAACTTATGAGATAGAATCTCTTAACTCTCTGCTTGATGAGGTGAGGCAATTTAATGTCCTGTCTTTTCTTCCATTTTCTTCTTACCCATTCCTTCAGCTTCTCTCTCTAGGTGAATTTAAAAATATTAAGCTTGATAATACAGTTAATCCTCATTATTCACAGATTCTGTGTTTGCAAATTTGCCTACTCGCTAAAGTTTATTTGTAGCCCCAAAATCAATACTCATGTGTTTTCACGGTCATTTGCAGACATGCGTAGAGTGGTGAGAAATTTGAGTTGCCCGAGGTGCACATTCCCACCTAAAGCTGAATAGGCAACACACTTATCTTCCAGTTTCAGCTCTTATACTGTAAACAAGTGTCCTTTTCGTGCAATATTTTTCCACATTTTTGTGCTTTTTGTTGGTCATTTTGCTATTTAAAATGGCCCCCAAGCATAGTGCTGAAGTGTACCTAAGTGCAGAAAGGCTGTGATGTACCTTATGGAGAAAATGTGTGTTAAGTAGGCTTTGTTCAGGCACGAGTTACAGTGCTGTTGACTGTGAGTTCAGTGTTAATGAATTAACAGTATATATTAAGTAAGGAGCCTTGAAACAAACACACATACATAAAACAAGGTTATGTATTGATCAGTTGACGAAAATGATGTGATCAGAGGTATTGGCTAATTCATTGTTCACAGTGTAACTTTATAGAATGTAACTATTGCCAACAGTGAAAATTGACTTATTTACATTCCAGTTTGCAATCCGAATGAAGTCCCTTGTACTTTTTACAGTTGATTGATTGCAAAAGTGAACCAATAAGAATAACATTTGTTAGTATAACACTGTAAAATATTTTTTCAGTGTAGAGACTAGGATTTTATGTCTTTTTCATAGGGATATTGTTAAGATTCCTTTGTAGGGATCTTAAGGGAGAGTGTCCAAGTGGAGTCTCCTTGTAGTCTACAAATTGGTCAAAATGATGCTTGCTACCTTTTAGCTTTCCTTTTGGGAAGGAAGCATACACCTTGATTTCTTCCCGCTCTTCTTGAAAAAAACATTTTTTTGACTGGATTTCTGTTCTAATTTTGGGTTTTTGCTTCACATTTGGACTATGATTCTGTTGTCCATCCATCACCTCCCCCCACCCCCCATAGTTTCTAAATGCTCAATTTCCCTTGCATCTATACGTTTGTTATAGACATCCACTCTCAGTTCTGTTGTATACCCACCGCCCCGCCCCACCCCGCCGGTGCTTTTATTGAGTTTATTTTAGTAATGATAGTTTTAATTTATAAGGGAGTGTATTCTCTGAGTGTGCCTCAAAAATAAATAAATAGAGCTGCTCTGAAAAAGGAAATTTCTTTGAAGACCTTAGTTATAATTAGTTCCATTCCCCACCCCTGTTTTCTTCTGGTTCCTGAATTACATTTTCTTCAAGGTCCGTTTTTGGCTTGTTTAATTTTTTCTTTGCCCTGTCCCAGTTTTTCCTTAGATGTTAGGTGATTTCTTGGTTGTCTTTTTATATTTAAGATGAGGCTGTAGAAGAGCTTGTTTATTGATAGGCTTTTCCTTTATGTGAGTAGATACAGAGCTGGCTCTTCTGCTAGGGACCCTTCAGATGCTAGTGTGTGGAAGCTTTGCTCTGGGGTGTCATCACTCACTCTATCTGCTAAAGTTAGAAAAGAACCATCAGGTGTTGTGTCCGTCCATTCCCCATTCCCTCTTCCCTTTCCCATTGTAGGGGAAACATCTGACTGTCAGGAGCGGACACTCTTCTTTTTACATGAACAGACCTTGCCATTACCCAGTGTTTTTTGCCCCATTTCTTATTCCCAGTTTACCTTTTTTCCACTTGGGGATGTGTTGGGATGGGGGTGGGATTGACTTTCTCCTTGTTTGAGGCATTTATCACATTTTAAATTGTGGCTGATATCCTCTGGAAATGTGTTAAAATGAAGATTTCTGGGTAAAGATGGTAGATTGAACACAAACATCTACTTTTGCTTCCTTCCTTCCGAAACTCCACTAAAACAGTAGGTTTTTTTATTTTAAATACGTAAACCCTCAGGAAAGGGAAGAGTGGGTGAAGACATAAGCAACAAAATTCTGAAAATTAAAACAAACAGAAAATGGTATGAGACTTAGCAGACCTCAAAGAACTAAATGAGAGACTGCTGTAGTAGTGTTAATCTACTCTGGAATGAGAGAATACTGAAAAGTGGGAGAACCAGATTTATGCGTCCTGTATGCTGAGAACCCTGCCCTCGTCCCCTACTCAGCTTCTGGAGTATGACACCAGGTCTTTACCTTCCAGGCAGAAGACGGAAAGATTATTCTGTAGGCAGTCTGACCGGCCCCAAAAGAAAGACCTAAGAATACTGACAGTGAAGTTTCCTCAACTAAATGGATCAGTCATATCCCCTTAAATTATGCCTCATAGACGGTACACAATACAGGGGAAACCAGCACAGCTTGTACAAGGAAAGGTCATGGAAGCTCCATAGACACATCCAAACTCCTTGAGGGACTGAATTGCTGGGTGGAGGGCTGTGGGGAGCATGGTCTCGGGGAACATCTAGCTCAGTTGGCATAACACAGTTTATAAAGACAATGTTCTACATTCTACCTTGGTGAGTAGCGTTTGGGGTCTTAAAAGCCTGTTAGCAGCCATCTAAGATACTCCTCTGGTCTCATCCTTTCGGGAGCAAGGGAGAATGAAGAGAACAGGATACAAGGAAAAGATTAGTCTGAAGGACTAATGGTTCACAGCTACCAAGGCCTCCACCGGACTGAGTCCAGTACAGCTAGATGGTGTCCGGCTACCACCACTGACTGCTCTGACCAGGATCACAACAGAGGGTTCTGGACAGAGCTGGAGAAGGTTGTAGAACATAATTCTAACTCACAAAAAAAAAGACCAGATTTACTGGCCTAAAGGAGACTGGAGAAACCCCGAGAGTATGGCCCCAGACACCCTGTTAGCTCAGTGGTGAAGTCATTTCCGAGGTTCACCGTTCAGCTGGGGAGTGGACAGCCCCATAAAACCAAATGGGACTAATGAGGCACAGCAGTCCAGGGACAAGGGCCAGAAGGCAGAAGGGGACAGGAAAGCTGGTGATAGGGAACCCAAGGTTGAGTAAGGATAGTGTTGATGTGTTGTGAGGTTGTTAACCATTGTCGTAGGGCAACATGTGTACTGACTGTTAAATGAGAAACTATTTTGCTCTGTAAGCCTTCATCTAAAGTGAGAATAGCAGCACAATTGGAAAAGTGTAGTTGATGTCACTGAACTGTGCATGTAGAAATTTTTGAAATGGTTTATCTTTGGCTATGTGTATTTTCACCAAAAAAAAAAAAAAAGGTTGAGAAGGGAGAGGGTTGACATGTTGTGGGGTTGTTAACCAATGTCTTAAAACAATTTGTGTACTACTGGAAAAAAAAAATTATGCCTCATAGTTTGATAAGCCTCCTAAACAGCTTTGTGGTCTAACATGCTTAAGTATAAACATCTGAGAAAGGCCTCTTAACATGAAACGTAGAGATCAAAATTAACAGCAACTGGGAAGAATCAGTCTATGCAAACAGAAGAAAACTTAAAAACAAACAAAACTTACATTGATCTCTTTCGAGGGGTAGATTTTTTGCAACCATGAAATAAGGACAGGATATGCTATAAAAGCATAATTAAAAAAAAAACTAGAAAGAGCATTTGGAAACTAAAAATACGAGAGCAGAAACAAAAACCTCAGTAAAGGGTTGGAAGTGAAGTTATGGAAATTCCCCAGAAAGTAGACAGGGAAAAATCAGAGGTAGGAAATATCACAGAAAAGACAAGAATCATAAGTGAATTCAGTTCAGGAGGTCCAGAAAAATAGAATGGAGAGCAGGAGGAAATCATCAACAAGATAATTCAAGAAAACTTCAGCGCTGAAGGGCTTCAGTTCTAGTTAGGATCCATTGAATGGTCAACCCAGGGGTGAAAAATAAAAACCAAAACCAAACCCACTGCTGTCAAGTGGAGTCCAACTCAGCTACTCCGTAGGGTTTCCAAGGCTGTAAATCTTTGGGAGCAGATTGCCACCTCTTTCTCCCACGGAGTGGCTGATGGATTCGAACTGCTGACCTTTTGGTTAGCAGCTGAGTGCTTTTAACCACTGCACCGCCAGGACTCCTTGGATAAAAAATAGACACTGGGAAGTTTCAGAACACTGGGGACAGAGGGTATCCATATACAAAGGATTAAGAGTCTGACTGGCTTAAATCTTCTCAACATTAAAACTGAAAGCAGGGAGCAATGTCTTCAAAATGCTGAAGGCAAATGATTTCCAACTTAGAATTCTTTACTCTGCCAAATTATTAAGTGAGGATGTAGTAAAGATATTTTCAGATGTACAATATCTCAATATTTATCTTCCCTCTATCCTAACTCCAAAAGGTATGGGAGAATGTGCTTCATGAAAACAAAGTAGATGAAGGAGAAGGGAGACAGGATCAAGAAACATGAGATCTAATATAGGATAGAGGCATAGGAAACCACAGGATGCTAGTAAAGAGATGGTGTAGAATGACAGATGTATACTAGGTGTAGAGGGCAACCAGTCCAGATTGGAACAGGTCAGAATGCTCTAGGAAAAGCTTCAAGGTGAAACTGAAGCATGTGAATGAGCATCTTGAGAAACATTTAGAGAAATGGAGGGTTGAATTAGTGACAAGTACAGAGAAGATGAAGCAAAAGAAGAGACAATCATTAATTACAAGGAGAACAAGAATTGTTCAGGAAAGGAGAAAAATCATGGTTTACCATATGGCTTAGTTGTGAATTGTGTTTATAGAGTCATAATAATGCAGAGACTGAATGTTGATCTAACCTAGTAGTTCTCAACTGGAGTGACTTTTCTCCCAGGGAACATTTGGCAATATCTGACATTTTTGGTTTTCACAATTGTGTGGGTGATACTGCCATCTAATGGATAGAGGCTAGGGATGCTACTAAACATCCTACAAGGCCCAGGACAGCCCTTCACAACATTGAATTATCTGCCCCAAAATGTCAGTAGTGCTAAGGTTGAGAAACCGTGACTTAACCAAAATGATGATATAATTTTGTTGGGAGAATGGAGAAATGAGAAGGGTGTACGGAATGGGAATGAGAATAGAGTTATTCCTCATTTACTGTAGTGGAAGTCAATAGGAAATGCCCCAAACTGAGAAAATAAATAGTAGGTGGGTTTTTTTTTGAGACACGGAGATAAATAAGATTAGATTAAAAAGGCTAGTCTTTACAGTGTTCTTTGGATGTGTCCTGTGTGTACCACCTAGTGATCAATATGGGACCTGTGTAGTGATCTGTCTCATAGTTCACTTCTCAAAGTTTATGGTATGCTGTTAGAATCTAATCCAAGCTTGTGCAGATTGGGGATGCGCCCTGAATTCATAAACAACTTTATTGGTCTGTTTCCCTGGACCTCCCCTTTTTGGCCCTGTGACCAGAAAGTTACTCTGCTGTGTACTTCCTTCAACTGTGCCCTTGTTTGGGACCAAGCAGCTGGAGAACAAAGAAAGAGAAAAAGCAATAGAAGTTGACCCTACTCTCTTGGGGCCACAGTTGTAGCAAGTGGAGAGGAAGGTTCCTGTCTTTTAGCCTCTGTGGATCCCCCTTGCTGCCACTGTTGTTGCCACCTCTGGAATCATCATGAGATTGCTTGGGGACTGGAGTGCAAGAGAATGGAGAAGAGAAGAAAGGGGGAGTTTCCCTTACTGACTTCAGAGTGTTAGGAGACCCCTTTATTCCCCTTTCTTGGTCCTTGAGGCCGGTGCCACTAGAGGGCTTCTCCTGGAACTCTCTGTCCCTGCTGATGCCCACTTCTAGGCCCCCTCTCCATCCAGGCCTGGGAGTACTTTTTGGGGAAGGGGTTTGGGAGTGGTAAATTTACTTATAATACAGGTAGTCCCCAATTTGCCATGTATTTGAGTTACAATGAACTGCACTTAAAACTGTCTCCCCCCACTTTTTTTGATACATCTTATCGTTAGTAATATGTACTACATACAGTGTTGCAGCCTGTAATTTGCTAATGTTATTCTCAAGTGTTCATTCACAGATGTCCAATTTTATGATTGACTGTTCAAAACACTACTGTGTAACAGAGGAAAGAAATGCTGAAGAAATAGTGAGGAAGACGAAGGAGAGAAGTTGTCAAAAATTTTTACAGTGAAAGGATTAGCCGAACTTTTTTCTAAACTAAATCAGGAGCTTCAGTTGCTTGAAAACATGGACCCAAATGTTGATTGCTTTGCTAATAAAGTCAATAGGCAGGTTTAGGAAGCAGTGAGATGTTACTGCGAAATATATGAAGAAAAAAAGACAAGGACCATACAGACAACTCCACTAATTTTCTGACTAGAAATGCCATCCCCATTCCCAGGGATAATCCAGAAGATCCAGAGCCTTCCACAAGTGGAGTTATTACTGCAGCTGACAAAATGTCAGCATCATTCAACTCTTCTTTATCATTGGGGTAAATTTTTATGATTAGTGGATTTTTTATGTATGTATGTATTAAAATATATCTGTAAATTTATATGTAACTTTTGCATCTTCCAAAGACAAATGAAGATTGGCCTTATAAAGATACTGATGATAAAAGGCAATAATAATGAAAACAAAAAACAAAAAAAAAAGGTCTTCGACTTATGTCAGAACTGACTTACAGCAGGATCGTTGGAATGGAACCACATCATAAGTTGAGGACTACCTCTTCCTTAATTTTCTTGTTACTATTTACTTTTTAGAGCCCTCAAATAGCTGCTGTATGCATTCTCTCCAGGTTTTAAGCTGTAATTTATGGGAGGGACAAATTGGAGTGTCCTTAGTCCATTTTGCCAGGAATGGAAACCTATATAAGCATTTAAAAGATAAATTTTAATTATCAGTATGTGCCAGACAATTTGCTAGGCTCTGGGGATAAAAAGTTGCAAAGATACAGTATGCTACCTCAGTGAACTAATTTAGAAGGGTTTATGGACAATTATAAAAATTAGATAATTGCTGAAATGGAGAGTCTAAGACAGTGTAAAAGTCTGTTCATAGGAGTCTGGTTTATCTCTAGAAGAGTGAGTGTAAGTCTTGAAGGATGAATTAGAGGTTTGCTAGATGGACACGAGAATAGGAGGGTACATATATATGGATGGTAACTTAGGGCACCTTCAAAAATTAGGCATCTCTGGCTATATATAAAGAGTCTCACAGAGTGATAGAAGAGGTTGGGCACATGGGCAAGGACCAGATCCCAGATACCCTACAGAAAAGTTTAAATTTTATATCTTAGATAATGTCATTAAGGTAGCATGTTATACATTTTACTGTAGTGTATGTAAAATTTAAGCTCCTTTTTCTGCAGAATTTTTCCATATTGAAATGTAGATTACTGTGCATGCATTTGTCCTATCACTTACTTAATCATTCCCTTATTGGAATATTACATTATTTTTTAATTTAAAAGTATTTTTTTTTGAGATTTGATTTGAAACTTGGAGACAACCAAAGATCATTTGGACCATAGTTAAGTTAATAATGTAAATTAAATGGTTAAACATTTTTATCTTAAAAAATTGTGATTTTAAAAACCAGTGGCCTTTTTTTGTGTACTTTAAAATGTTTTCAAAGATTGCTAGAAAAAATGCTTAATAGTGGAAGATGTGATTGGTAGCTGCTTGAGGTGACTGCTGTGGATGACTTTCACTTAGATATATAAATTTTGATTTGTCTGTTTAACATAAAAGGATGGCAGTGGGTTTGGTTTTGGCTTATCTTAATCACCACATAAGTACATGTGTACATATAGTGTATATTTATTTGATATATGCCCTTGGAAATGTTACCAGACATTGGAGGAACTCCTGGTAAAGGTTGTTTTCTTGTTCACCTTTGTTAGTTTATCTCTGTACTTGTGAACAGGGGGTAAATGGGCTCTTGAAGTCTTTTAGGAGTGAGATACATGTCATATATTCTTTTTTTTTTTTAAGACTTGTTTTCTCTGTAATAATTTTCCCCAGATATTGCTTCCTTGATCAGAATTGCTCTTGGTCCCTCTTCTGCGTTGATGGGTCAGGGATGAAGCAGTTAACTGACTAAAATAAATTGTTACGGTTTGTAAATGTAATTTTTATGTGTGTTTTATTTTTTGACAGCCGATTTATCTTGCATATTCCGAGCGAGGAAAGAGACAATGCAATCCGAGTGTGTTTTCAGATTGAACTTGCCCATTGGTTTTACTTGGATTTCTACATGCAGAACACACCAGGATTACCTCAGTGTGGGATAAGAGACTTTGCTAAAGCTGATATCCTTTTTATTAGTGTAATGGTTGTCTTTCATTCTTGTTAATAAAATATTTTAGCACAAATTTCCCTTTGCTTGTCTTTGAGATTTATAGCCTATAGAGAAAACATATTTGATTTCTGAAAATGGTTGAATGTAAATAGTAGCCGCAAATTATTTATATTGTTCTTAATACAGACCCCTTGAAATATTTACTGATGATTAGAATTAAATTAAATTTTTTTTTTTTAGGTAATTAAAGGTAGCTTATTTTAGAACTGATCTGTGGTTTACTTTTCTCTTGTTGCATTTAACCAGATAATCTTTAGTCAAATCATCATCTTTGTGGGAGAGAAATTTCTTAAATAATTATTAAATACTATGTTCAAAGCAAGGAGCCCTAGAGGTGCAATGATTAAGCGTTGGGCTGCTAACCTAAAGGTTGGTGGTTTGAACCCACCAGAGGCTCCACGAGAAAAAAGACCTGGTGATCTGCTTCTGTAAAGATTTACAGCCTAGGAAGCCCTACGGGGACAGTTCTGCTCTGTCGTATAGGGTCATTATGAGTTGGAATTGACTTGACGGCACACAACAATGACAACATGTTCGAAGCAGTATGTATTTATTTTTTAAACTTTATTGAATTTTTAGTAAAAGTTTACACAGCAAGTTAGGTTCCCGTTTTGACAATTTCTGCACAAACTGTTCAGTGACATTAGTTATATTTATCACAATGTGTCAGAATTCTCTTTGTTCTGTTTGTTCCATTTCCAGTACTCTAGTTTCCCTGCCCCCTTATCTTCTCATCTTTACTTTTGAGTAATTGTTGACCTTTAGTTCTCATACTGATGGCTTTTAAGTAGAACACCGATATTATGGGTAATATCCTTTGTATTGTTGGACACTGGTATTTCGCAAAAGGGTGATACCAGGATAGGTTCTAGGTTTAAATTGTGTCTCAGGGCGATAGTCTCAGGGAGTCCTCTGTTCTCTACTGCTCCAGTTTGTCTTGCCTTTTTTTTTTTTAAAAAAAAAAATAAGAATCTGAGTTCTGCTCCACATTTTTCTCCCATTCTATCTGGGACCATTTATTGTGACTGGTCAGAACAGTCAGTGGCACCATCTAGTTCTTCTGGTCTCAGGGTAGATGAGGTTGTGGATTGTGTAGACTTGTTTCTTCTCTGAGCTTTTCGTTACCTTACCGTTTTGCTCCTGGTGAGTAGAGACCTGTAGTTGGGTCTTAGATGGCCTTGAAGCAATATTTTTGGTTCTGTGGCAAATACAAAGAAGTCCTTGCCTTCCAAGAAGGCTTTTTTCTTTCTTTCTTTTTTTTTAAATAAATAAGACAGAAGCATATGAATTTATTTATTGTAAAAGATTTGCACAAATATTTGTAAGATTTTAAAAGAAGCTATGTTAAAAGGTAAAAACGATGAACTGCTAATGGTCCTGATATTAAATGTTTTTAGAATTTGGAAAAAGAAAGATTTTAGGCAAAGCTATATTTTTCAAAGAATATAGGATTTTTCTAAATAGAAATGAGGTTTATATAAAGAAAGAAAAGGGATTAAGCAGAATTGGAAAGTTGGAAAGTATAAGGGATATCTTGGGAAGTAAATTAATTTGTATCGAACAGAGGGTAATTAAATAGCTCCATAGTAGGAGATGCATATGGGAAGATATGTAGGGGGGAATTGTGAGAGTTCTTAAATCTTGAGCTGAGGTGCTTTGATTTTTATTCTGTAGATCTCTGTTTTTAACCATGGATCATGTGTTCAAATAGAATTGTACCCACAAGCCCAGTGTACTAAGGTAGTGTTAGAGTAGGGGCAGGGCACCTAAAATACCCTCACACTCAGCTCCTGATCACTTTCCCTGAGCCCCCTGAAATGAACTCCTAGGGCTCTGCAGAAAGTGGATGAAACACTGTTCTAGATAACTGTTAACCACAGAAAGTTTTTGAATAAGGGTAAATAATATTACTCAGATCATCTGAAAATGGTATTCAAGAAGGTAATAATTGGCAGGATAGATTTTGCACGTCATGTGGACTGATACAGTACTTGAGATATGGAGCAATAAGGTCCTGTACCCTAGTAGCGGGACGACCAAGAAAAGACTGATAGGAGACAGATTTCAAAGGAAGAAATGAAATGACCAAGCTTTTTGTCTGATTAAACATGTAAAAATGAATGAGGAATCAAAGGGAATGGAAGTATCTTGAGTACCCTGTTTGTTACAGACTCAGTGATAGGCTCTGTGAGAATACATAGAAGACTTTGCTTTTAAAACAGTTATCTACTAAAGAAACACAATTAAAACAGCCAGATCTCTCATTCTTGTGGTGTTGCTCTGTTTGCAGAGACTTAGGGTTTGTCAGTGCAACTTCGCATACTTTGGGGTTCTGGATAATATTTCATCTCTAAGAAGAGAGAGACAGGAAAGGAAGTTACTATATGGCAAATTATGGTAGGGTAGTACAGGGTTCATTGGGAACAGAGAAGAGGGAATACCTAACCCAGATTTGGGGGCTAGATAGCCTTCTTTGGAAGAAGTGATAGCTAAGATCTGTGTAAGGAAGTGAAAAAAGTTAACTATAATTTGATTGTAGAGTAGGTGGTGAAGGACAGGAGATGATGCTGAAGAGTTAGTCAGGGGCTAGGTGGGGGCTAAAGTTAGTAAGGGTCTTATAGGTCGTATTTGTTCCGACTTTATCCATAGGAGCATTAGGGGAATAATAAATCCATTGCCATTGAGTGGATTCTGACTCACAGGGACCCTGTAGGACAGAGTAGAGTTTCAAGGCTGTGATGTTAATATGGAAGCAGACTGCAACATCTTCTTAATTCCACTGAGTGGCTGGTGGGTTCAAGCCCCTAACCTATGGATTAGCAGCCAAGCGCTTAACCACTGTGGCACCAGGGCTCCCTAATAGAGGAATACAGGAGATTATCTTTTTAATTAAACTTTTTATTTTGGGAAAAAAACTTCAATTTACAGAAAAGTTGAAAGACTGTTGCAGTGAACTGCCCTGATATCGTTCATCCAAATTTGCCCATTGTTAACATTTTGCCTCATTTGCTTTATTTCTCTCTAAAAGGGTGTTTTAAAAGAGTACTTTGGAATAGTGTGAGCAGTGAATTGGAGGAAGGCAGGACTGGATACTAGGAACCTACCTCATTTCACTCACTTATGAGAGGGCTAATGTAAACCTGTTGTAGAAGTGAATTAAAGAGGTCGAATTTGAAAGATACTTAGGAGATAAAATTGGTGATGTCTTGAATGTCTAAGAATAAGTAGAAGGAAGAATAAAGGATGGTACCCAGGTTTCTGGTTTGTGCAATTTTTTGAGTGGATAGGTGTGGTATCCCATTCATAGAAAAAATATAAGAGGATAATTTTCGTGGGGTAAATGGTGGGCTCAGTTATGGACAAGTTGTTTGTGATACCTTGGGGATATTGGAGTGGAGAGGCTGCATACTGTAAAAGTTAGTAGCATGCGTTGCGGAGCCAGATTCCCAACTCTGTCATTTACTAACTGTTCCAAAATCTTGTGATTTTTCTTCAGTTGTTGTCGAGTCGATTCCAACTCAGGATGACCCCATGTGTGCAGAGTAGAACTGCTTCAAAGAGTTTTCAAGGCTGAGACCTTTTGGAAGCAGATCACGAGGCCTTACTTCGAAGGCATCTCTGGGTAGGTTTGAATTGCCAGTCTTTTGGTTAGTAGTCTAGCACTTAACCATTTGTACCACCCAGGGACTATTCTTTCAGAAGCATTCAGCAACCTGGGTATTTTGGATTTGCTCCAGGTTTGAAGTTTTGTCAGGGAGTTGTATTCAGAGGACTGTGAGGAAAAGGAATTGAGAATAGTGTTAAGTGATGGGTCATGGAGTTTATGGAAGAAAATAAAAACAGGATGGTAGTAATAGGGGAAAAGGAAAACAGTCAAAGACTGATGTAGAGTAACAATATAGTGAAGAAAGCTGTAGAAGGTTGTGGTCAGAGTATTTTATTTTAATCAAATTGCCAGAATAGTTCCAGTGATGGGAAGGTCTAGAGTGTTGGTGTGGAAGTTGGTCCCTGAAGTGGGAGTAGATGTGAAGGACAAGGAAATCAAGGAATTGAGACTGGAGTTTGAGATGAGTTGTCATGGGGAAATGGATGTCATTTCAGATAATGGTTTGAATTTGAGGTGGTGATTACTGTCCAGATGATTGTTTCTTCCTAGAGCAGGTTTTTCATGGTTTTGCAAAAATGTTTGAAATCAAAGAGAGTGTCAAAACCACCAAATTGTTGGAGAAAAGAGAGAATATGGGTAATCCAAGTGAGCATGTACTTAAAATTCTCACATTCTGTTATTAACCAGTCTCCACCCATGTGATCGCTATGAGTCTGAATTGAGTCATGGCAACTGGTAAACTGGTGGTAAACCTCCTTCTGTCCTTTTCTTGAAGTCTCTGTAGTCCAGATTGAAGACTCAAAGTAATTTGGTTATGAGGTTAAGGAAATCATAGTAGTCAAGTAAGAATTTCAGTAAAAATTAGAAATAATAGTTAATAATTATTCACTGTATGCTGTAGGCTTTTTCTAATGGAATATATTATTTCATTAAATACAAATGGTAATTTAAAACTTCCCACCCCTGCGATTGAATTGAGTTGCTATTTCCCCCTCCCTCCCCCGCCAAAAACAAAAACAAAAACAGACAACCCAGTTGCCATTGAGTTAATTCTGACTCATGGAGACTGCATGTGTTAGACTGGTTAGATAAAGAATGTAAGAATTTTAGGTACTGTCGTTGTGTGCTGTGGAGTCGATTCCAACTCACAGCAACCCTATATGACAGAGTAGAACTGCCCCTATAGGGTTTCCTAGGCTGTAATCTTTGTGGGAGCAGATTCTCCTGTGGAGCCATTGATTGGTTCCAGCTGCCTACTGTTTAGCAGCCGAGCCCTCATTGTGCCACCAGGGCTCCTTTTAAGTACTATTAAGTACTGTTAAATATGAAGGAGTAGAAGAGTGGTCAGTGGAGAAATTAATGTCATCTAAGATTGAGTTTGTCACTTGCTAATTGTATGGAGTTGAGCAAGTACTCGGTGGGTTCTTTTCAGTATTAATTACAAGTGCATCTTGAACTTTAGTTGGTTCAGTCAACTCAGTTATTTTGTTGTGGTCTTGTGATAGAAAAAGTAGATAAACGAAGTCTGTAAAAGTTTCCAAACTTAAGTCAGATGATTTAATTTCTCTCACTAAACCTTTCTTTTTTTTATTATTCATTTTAAAGAGTTGTTTAATGGGTAGAAAAATAAGATAGCAGTTGGAGGTTTTAGCTTTTTGTGTGAAACTGATGCCCCTTGAAATTATTAGGAACATTGAAGGGAAGAGGAAGAGAAAGGAAAGAGAAACTGGATAAGCACAATTGGAAGTTATCATTGTTCCTGGGTCTTTTTATATCAGTGTGTCTGTGGTTAATTTTTTAATGGAAAACATTATTCATTTATTTAAAATTTATACTTTGTGATGACTTTAATTTAAAACACATAGGGATTTTATTAAACATCTAAAGCCAGACTTTTATTGGGAAGTACCTCTCAGAATCTTAGCAAGCCTGTGTAGAACTGTAAGAGCTTCATGGAATGGTTAATGTTGCATCCACAAACTTTATCTCTTTTTCTCCCAAAATGTGAAGGCATGGAATAATTATATTGAGATGAATCTCATGCCTGTGTTTTAACTACAGTGTTGCTATCGATGGTTGATTTTTGCGGGGGCTATTTGCAGGCCTCTTTCGTTCTTAATGGAAACTCTGGTAACGTAGTGATTAAGAGCTACGACTGCAGACCAAAAGGTCACTGGTTCGAATCCACCAGGCACTCCTTGGAAACCCTGTGGGGCAGTTCTACTCTATCCTACAGGGTTGCTGTGAGTCAGAATCGACTCTTCGGCAGCACGTTTGGTTTTTTTTTGTTTGTTTGTTTTAGTTCTTAATACTACTATAAAAACCAAACTAATGTTAAAATACAAAACAAGGTTTTAAACACAAAATTGTAGAACTCATGCAGTTCAAATGAATAGCATGAATTTAATGTTTGTGTTTAAACCAGACCTGATCACAATGTGAATATGACGTTGACTTCTTTGAGGGTGTTTTGGGTTTGAGGTGCTTATAGTACCAGCTCTCCTACCATCTTCTCTGTTTCATCTGTTACGAAGCCTTTCTTTCTGTTCCCTGTTAGGATGTGTCCTTTGGCCCTAACCCATCAATTGCATATTCGGTTGCGTTTGTTTCTAATAGCCCACAGCAGTTAATACAGTAGTAGTGCCATTATGGCTTCTGAAATCAAGTAGCAGTACTTGATATAAGTGGTCGTCCGGATGATTGAAAATATACCCATATTACATGTTTTTATATTAACATGAAAATGAAAACACAGAACATAAGTTTTTATAGCGGACTTCAGGATGCTTAAGAAACGTTATCATAAATGATACTTTGAGAAACACTATCGTAAGTTATAATTTTTGCCCATACTTTCCATAATTAACAGTGTTACAGTGATGAGGCATTTGCTAACATGGAGTATTAGAAGCCTGAAGCATACATACAAATTGTATGTTTAGATTGTATTTCCTTTTTTTAAAAAAATCATACTGCCTCATTTTGGGGGCATGCCAAATTTATTTTGAAACTGGCTGTATTTTCCTTAATACCTAAATTTAACCTTTCTCTATAATCCTTACTAAATCTTCATTAAAATATTTTTTAACTATTAAAGCAATACATGTACATGATAAAGAAATTCAAACAGTATAGAACTTTATCTGTAGTTCTACTTCCCATGGTTAACCACTTTCACCTTTTTTTGTTGTTCATTTGATGGTTTCTACCCCTCATCAATGTAGGTGTACTGTACTTCTATTTCTTGCTATCAGTTTCAGTGTTTGTTTACTCCAGTATGATGAATTCAGCTTCCATAATGACAAGTACTTGTGTTCACGTGGTTCAGAATTCATTTGTGTTAACTTAGGGATCCAAGGCTAATGAATACCCAAAACTTTCTTGATTCATCTTTGTGTCCAGGCTAAATGCAGAAGTTATTAACAATGTCTTGGTTAAGAGAAAACAAATGTGGAAAAAAACTTAGGCGAGTTGAAGATATGAGTAATTTCATGTAAAATACACAGTTGATTTAGATGGAACTCTTTCTGTAAGTACTGAAGTTGTATTAACGGAGAAAGTAGTTTCCTTGACACTACTTATACTTTTCAGTCATTGTCCATTTTTGCTGCCACAAGGCGAAGATGTGGAAAAAGTTTTGGATGAATGGAAAGAATATAAAATGGGAGTACCAACATATGGTGCAATTATTCTTGATGAGACACTTGAAAATGTGAGTGAAATAAAGGATTTTTAGTGAAATGGTGATCAGTTATTGATTTTTATCTTATTAATAAATATATTTTATTTTGAACTGAAGTTTGAAAATATACTTAGATTTTAGTGCTAAAAGGCCAAATTCTTGCATATTTAGCTTGTCTGCATTCTGGGTCTTAGGATTTTATACTTGTTGCAGTGTGACTTAGTGCAAGGAGATGTCATTTCATTTTTGAGGAAATATTTTAAACAATACAGAATGCTTGCCCTCACACTAATGGTAGTACATATATTCAGACTCGTAGAGGATACTTAAACCAACTACTGTATAAAACTATTGGTTGTAACAGTTACACTTAACTAAGGAAAAAAACACCTTTAATTTAGAAAGGAGCCTGGGAAAGAGGGCAGGTTTTAGTATTATCTCTGCTTGTTTCATAGGTACTACTGGTTCAGGGATACCTAGCAAAATCAGGCTGGGGATTTCCGAAAGGAAAAGTGAATAAAGAGGAAGCTCCTCATGATTGTGCTGCTAGAGAGGTAAGTTGCTACACTTTGAAACACTGTAACATTTGATTGTTATGATCCGGGTATGTTTTTTTAAAGCGATATAGACTTACATGTTTGGACAGTCTAACCCGTTTTCCAGAACTTGACTGCATGATGAAGTAACTTACCTTTTATAATGTTTTTATAAGATAACTGTTAATTCTTTTTTCTACATCTCTCTCATTTATTCTTCTACCCATTTCCATTTTCTTTCATTGTCTTTTTTTTTTTTTTAATAGTGTATCTTTTACTCTTTGTGATGGTATCATCTCCATCTTTACCTTTAGGATTTTGTATCCTGCAACTTTGCTAAAGTCACTTACTTCTAGTAGTGTTTTTGTAGATTCCGCTGGATTTTTTTACATAAATGGTCATGTCTGTGAATAAAGACAGTTTTACATCTTCCTTTCTAATCTGGATGGTTTTATATCTTTTTCTTGCCTTACTTCACTGGCTAGATCCACCAGTACAATGTTGAATAGACGTGGTGAGAGTGGATATCCCTGCCTTGTTTCAGATCTTAAGGGGAAAGCTTTTATAGTCTTTTACCATTAGATATGATGTGAGCTATAGATTTTTTGTAGGTGTTCTTTTTTTTTTTTTTTTTTCCCTTTTTTTTTTTTTTTATATTGTACTTCAGGTGCAGGCTTACAGAACAAATAGTTTCTCATGAAACAGTAGTACACATATTGTTTTATGACATGTCAACATGTCAACCCTCTCCCTTCCCAACTTTTTTTTTTTTTTGGTGAAAATATACATAGCCAAAGATACACCATTTCAAAAATTTCTACATGCACAGTTCAGTGACATCGTCTATCCTCTTGCAATTGT